CAAATAGTGTCCGAGTGGTGCACCTCAACCAAATAGTGCCCGAGCTATGCACCTCGGCCAAACAGTGCCTAAGTGGTGCACTTTAGCCAAATAGTGCTCGAGTGGTGCATTCGGCCAAATTGTGCTAGAGTCATGCACCTTGGTTAAATAGTACTCAAGTCGTGCACCTTGGCCAAACAATGCCTGAGTCATGCACCTCAACCAAATAGTGCCCGAATTGTACACCTCGACCAAATAGTGCCTGAATGGTGCACCTCAACCAAACAGTGCCCAATTGGTGCACCTCGACCAAACATTGCCCGCGTCGTGCACCTCGGCCAAACAATGCCCATGTCATGCAACTCGACCAAATAGTGCCTGAGTCGTGCACTTTGGCCAATCAGTGTCCAAGTTGTGCACCTCGGCCAAATAGTACTTGAATTGTGCACCTCGGCCAAACAATGTCCAAGTGGAAACAGTGCCCGAGTTGTGCACCTCAGCTAAACAATGTTCATGTCATGTCTCAACCAGTCCAATGCCCGAGCTACACCTCATGGCCAGTCTAATGTCTGAGTTGCATCTCGGTCGGTCCAATGTATGAGCCATGCCTCGTAGCCAGTCCAATGTCTGAGTCATGTCTCGACCAGTCCAATGCCCGAGCTACACCTAATGGCCAATCTAATGTTTGAGTCATATCTTAGCCAGTCGAATACACGAGGCACATCTCATAGCCAGTCTAATGTCCGAGTCACGTCTCGACCATTCCAATGCCTGAGCCATGCCTCGCGGCTAGTCCAATGCCCGAACCATGCCTCACGGCTAGTCCGATGCCTGAGCCACGCCTTGTGGCCAATCCAATGTCCGAGTCACATCTCGGCTAGTCGAATGCCCAAACCACGTATCACGGCCAATCCGATGCCCGATAATGTTGCTTAGTCAAACCTATGCCCAAGCAGCATTGTTCGGCCAGTCCTATGCCCAAGTAGTGTTGCTTGGTCAGCCCAATGCCTAAGTTACATGGCTCAACCAGTCCAGTGCTTAGTGCCCCGAGCAGTATTGCTCACTTAGTCCAGTGCCCAGTGCTCGAGCAGTGTGCTCAACCAAGTCAATGCCTAAGTAATATTGCTCGACTAGTCATGTGCCTGAGCAATGTTGCTCATCCATTCCTATGTTCAAGCAGTGTTACTCGATTAGTCTTGCACTTGAGTAGTATTGCTCAACCAGCCTAGTCCCTAAGTTATGTCGCTTAACTAGTCCAGCTCCCAAATAGAAGCTCTCGGTTAACCAACGACTGAACCACCAATCCCAACATGACAATTGACCCATCCAGCAAAAGGCACCAAGCCATGCCCTGAGCCCCTCCACGAGGAACCAGGGGCATGCAGTCAGCATCCATGTCAACACCAATGCAGAGCCTCATGGCTGATATGTTGCATTTCGTCGACGTGACGATCGCCTGTTCCCGCTCTATCCGAAGCCGTACGAGACAACGTCGCATAGCACAAAGTCGCTCTGGAAAGCTCAAAACAGCACAACGCGATGTAGATCTATACAGGTCGATCAATGCTCGCATAAGAGGTACAAGCTGGCCACCCGAGGAATCAACCACCTTTAATAGATCATGTACGATTGACCCTTGTTCGCATGTATAAAAGTTAACCCCCTAATCAACGTCAGGGGCAGGACCTCGAACACTTCAACTCAACTTAATCCTACTTAACACTAACTTATGTTTCGAATGGATCGAGTCAGGAAATCTCCCTCTCGACTTCGACCTGTGTGTAAGAACTTGGCAGGGGAGGACGAGCAACTCCTTTCTCTACCTCGGATTAATTCTGGATACGAAGCCCTGACCGAACCTAATGTCGACCACCTATGTTCGAGCATTCACATGAGCAACTCTGTGCACTCAGGATTGGACCTAAGCCGTGCCGATCCATTGGCCACGACATAAGGTTCCCCAACAACTCCAAACATAAGAGAGAAGATTGTGATCGGCTTGGATTAGACTTACTATCGCGATTGGCTTGTTTTGGAGCATTAATTTGATTATTATTGGTATAGTCGAGATTGAACCAATAGGACACGCTATTTGCCGTCCGCGTTGTAATTACCGCTTCTTATGACGTCCGATATACTAATATGAAATATACGAACCGTTACAATCATTGTAACGGTTGAATGGGCATTTTAACAGCTATTCTAAATACGCTTTTCAAAAATTAACCGCCCAAAATTCCAGACTCGAGATTGAAATTTACAGACGGCAATGCCCTCGGCGACATTCGAGACCCCACGAACGAATCATAAAGCTAAACATTTAGCCTCGTCGCCTATAGAGAGCCCACCCCATCCCGCCAACGTTTCGAACTCTTCCCCATCCCTCATTCTCTGTTGAGCTATCTCGATCGCCTCGTTCGAAATGGCTTGCTCTCTTTTCCTTCCCTCTCTATCTCAGTTTCGTCTTGCCTTTCTGATCCGATTTGGTTCTCTGTTTTGCTCAGCTAGTGAAGGAAACCGAGATCACAGACAATGATTCGCTGCTCTTGGTAACCCGATCAACGAACTCTTCTTTGGATCTATCCCTTTCTTTCTTCGATCCGATTGTAATTAGCTTTCCTGTCTGTCTTTGTGTAGTGGATTGCATGAGCGTTTCCTTCTGGATCTCTTTTCTTCAGATCGGTGTTTTCTGCTGCTTGATCATGCTAGATCGAGACCCTTTCTTTCAAATCGGGAGTATTCACCGTTTCATAGGAAGGAGACGAAGCGATTATTTAGTTCTATTGGATTTTCTTCGTAATTTCTTACTAATTGTGCAACTATAGTTGTTACTAGTGATCAGACTGTGCCTGAATTGAAAGTAACGCATAGTAGCCTTCCGTGTCTTCCAGACTTGGACAGTGTTAGGATGCTAAATGAGATTCTAGTTAATGCAATTTTTCGAGAATGTGGTCTAAGTTCATTAACTTGGTGAAGTTTTGAGGGGATTGCTTTCGGTGGCTTATAGATCAATATGCCAAAATATAATAATAATTATAGTCATAGTTTTATTGTAGATCAGAAAAGTTCTGCTTCTTGTATTTTGAAGGAGATATGTGGTTTTGTCTGAGCAATTTGGTTTTAATTTTCACTTAGGTACCTATGATGCGTTGCAGAAGAAGTACCTGAAGACGCTTATGTTCTGTATTTGTGAGGAGACGTCAGGTCCGATGATCGACCAGTATACTCGTAAGGACCAACTTTCTTGACTATCGATTGATTCGACTTAGTTTTCATTCATAGGACATACACTCCGGAGCCACAAATATATCCAAGACTTCAGTTGTCGATTGAACTCTCTTGTTTCTCTTTGTCTGTCTTTGTGATTTACATGAACTAAAGCATGTCAATACACATAGCTGTAGTTTCCTTCAGCTATACTTGTTCGAAAAATTATGAGGTATGCATGAAAATTAGTCGGACCGGAAACAAAAAGAACGGTGCGTCTCAAATCTAACATGATTGATGTAACCTCTGATCCAATCAGATAAAATTGATGGAGTCTGTCAAGTTATGCCTAAATATGAAAGGGTTCATGTTCCTCTTTATCCCATCATAGCCGTCCAAGTGAAAATATTTTGTCATATGGTGGGCATTGATAGGTATGCATTTAAACAGTTAGTTGTATGTTTCAGGAGCTCTGCTGGCAAGATGATTCTGATGAGACCTTTGGATCAAACGCCTGAGGAGGGTAAGCGTGATGGCGGTTACTCGTTTGTTTTACTTCAAAATAAAAAGCTGAAGTGGCTGGTTTCTATGTTTCGGCGCACAATTTTGATGAAGCTCCTTTACCATGATGATGTCACGGTACGCTAGCATTCAGACTAGAATCTGGAACTAGCTTTTTTTTGCATCTGGTCTGCCCTCAATCATGATCACAAAAAGTATGAATTGGTCGGTAAGGAACATCTGCAACTTTGCATGGCTCACCGTGCATTAATTATCGAATGGTCAGGATTTTTATAGTTTTTCTTTATAATTTTTGAAATCATTATTGTTAATTCTGTTTTAAATTTGATAATTATGATGCATGGGAGGTCAATATTATTGAACTTTGATACAAATACAACCGTGCGATGATAGGATAAACCTGCTTATGACAGGTTACATCATCCAAGATGCAATATTGAGGCTTCATGAGGACACTAATTCCACGTGAAGCGGCAATTCTCGTTGCAGATAGGTGCGATAGGCACTTGAAACATGGCGGTCTTTCGGACGTGGCACGGACTACAGTGGCACATATGGGACTACTCGAACACGAGGTTAGCAAGACATGCGACAATAAATTAGGGTTGTCAAGCACATAATAGATAAGATGTTTCTAACATAATGCTCTGCCTGTCTGATGCTTTCCAAGGAGCAGATATAGAAATCATCTTGTAATTTCGGGATCCTATGTCCGGCTGCGAATCCGTCCGTCGCTTCTAACTCGAGCAGTCACATCTGTAAGCTGGTAAGGAATTTCTTCAGCCCATAGTCGATATTAGAAAACTGATATTTCCCTAGTATTTGTCCGAGATAGGGATATCACCTGGCACATAGTTTATGCATCTTCTCACACACTTGATTGTTCGAGTTTTTGCCTAGTGTCGCTCTAAAATGAAGTAATGGTTCACATAGTTTATAGAAGTCATTTTTGTTTCTCTTTTCCTTTCTGACCAACTCATGGATCACCGACCATGTCCATCGTGAAAGCTGAATACTGTCAATTGTGATCTGTCTTCTCTAAACTTAATTTTCTAAATAGTAACAATAATATACTAATTATGGTTTTAGGAGCTGGGGTTGACTGCACATTGCAATTAGAGATAGAAAGTTCTATGGAAGATTTGATAAAAATTATGTATCTCATTTCTCTTAGGAAGTCAGCCTTCTAAATTCAGTTGTGAATATTTAACCAGGCAAAAAATGTCCCTAGAAACTGGCTGACCAATGTAAAACACCCCAATTTTAGGCGTCATAATTTTAGTTCGGGCATTGGTAGATCTGCATTTTTGGTGGGAATAATATATTCATAGTCATCAACTTCTTTTTCATTAGCAAGTGTTTGACTATGTGTTGCACCTAGATATTAAGAGCTAGCAATGATAATTTGGTAAGATTTTATATCCAACTGTTAACAGGATCTCAACCTTCTAAAAGCGGGGGCCAAACATGCCCAAAATTCTAAAAGATCAGTTGACATACTAGAATACTCAAACTTTATTCACTTATTTTAGTTGATGTGACCATAGAACAGTCTTTTGAAAATGTTCAATACCATAATATATTTAAGCTTATAAGTTGACGAACTCTGTGGCAGCTTTTAATATTAATCTCACAAACAAATAAATCTCATAGTGGTAATACAAATTTAATACGAATAAGACTAATATAAAATCAACAATTGTTGGTAACATTTTCTAAGGTCAACTATTAGCACCGAGTTGCTGAAAGGGCATGGCAGGTTCAACTGAGTTTTCGTGCAACACACGTTTGTACAAGTCCGAGAAGTCTTTCAATGCAAAGACTTGCATGCTGCACATTGTGTCCATTTGGTTCTGCAAGTGGAACGGGTGGCGCAAATATATAAGATCATGACAGCAATAAGGTGATGCTAATATATATGTTCGTGGTTGTACTCTTTTTGTTGCTATTGGAAGTAGCGAGCTAAGATTAGCTGTTTATATTTGATATAATCTGTGTTTGTCCATTCAAGGGGAAAACAGATTTTTGTTATATATATATATATATATATATATATATATATATATATATATAGTTAAATATTGAGAGAGTCAAATGACATATATTTGAGTCTAACCTACAAACGAACAACTTAAGCTTTTAAGTTAAATTGATGTCTGACTCAATATATATTAACATTGATTAGTTTGACTCATACTTATTATTGTCAGATTCATAGTATTAGAGTCAAGGTTGGTAAACAAAATGAATGAGTGAAAAAAATAAGAATGCTTGAAAAAAAAAAAAAAGAGAGATCCAAAAAATTAAAAAAATCATAATAATTGAAAGAGAGAGAGAATGTGCAAAAGAATATTCGAGTTAAGATTAACTGGATAACCAAAATCAAGCTTGTGGTGTGGATAAAATTAACCACATCAAATGGACAAGCTTATGATGCTGATAAAGCTAGTCATATCATTGTTATAACTATGATTATAGACAAAGTTGATTGTATCATCCATGTTTACAAGTAAGGGGGAGACAATTAAACCATACTTGAATAGGGGAAGAATATTAGAAAAATATTCATGAGATTGTTGGAGAAAGAGAGAGAATACTCAGGTGGATAGGTGAAGATTAACTTTGGGACAGGAACGAAATAGTGTGAAACATGGCAATATCAACTACATCGATCACAAACATAGCCTTGTATCAGCAATCCTGCTGCTGTCTAGCGCCAGGATTATTGACCATAATAGCTGTTCTTGGGTGTTTTGTTTGTTTTTTTCGTTGATTACATCTGGATGCATTGTTTAGAATGAAGAGTCTTCTCCATCCAAATAGAGATCTGATCATTACTCTGCTCTATATCCTTGTAGATCACAGATACACTCTCCTAAAACTTATATCTCGTTCCTTCTCACGGAGAGAAACTCTCAAAGGGCATAGTCCTAATTCAGATCACCTTGGGATCATAGTACTTCATTACGGAAGACAAGTTCACGCACATTACAGCAACTAAAAAAGATTTAGAAGGTCGGATGTTAGTCAAGCATTGGGAATATGTTGGCTAAATTGATTCCATTTAATCTTTCTTTATTAAGTCATCCATATGAATGCTTTCATCTAAATATCCATCACAGTCTGAGAAGTATAAAGAATATAAGTGAGATTATGAAATTTTGAAGCGAATGGATTGGTAGAACCTCCATTATTGAAGTGATCAAGTCTAGCTAGATGCAATGAGTGCTGAGAGGATTTCCCGTGGGGCCTTTGGGACTAGATATCTTTGTTTTCATGTATGATTTGATGCCCATGATTGATTGCATCAATTGCTTTGTTTTAAACACATATAACACATTTATCTCATCATTTAATTTACAATAAAATATCAACCGTCATAGCTAAGTTTTCCTGTTAGGCTCTTGAAAAGCTAAACTCTTCTTCAATAAAGAATGAGAGAACAGAAAAGAAAGTAGAATGCTTTTCGATGGTGTATGCTCCAAAACCCCAAATATCATATACAATATTGTAATATAGAAATTGCTTCTTTCACTCAAGAGTTATTTATGTGTTTATTTTCCTTGCCAAATATCATCAGGATATCATAATCAGGCAAAAGTTCATGCAGATTTAGAAGATCAAGGCTGTATGCAATTTTTCTTTGCAAAAGACTGTAACTTAAATACCTTGATTGCTGAAAACTACGATTTATTTGATACCTAAACTTCATGTAGAACCTTGAATTGTATACCTCCAGGATATAACGTTGAATTATTAATAGTTCATCTAACCTAATCCTAGATATTATCATGATTTCCAATATGATACTAATTGGATTGTCACGTCAAGAATAGAATTGCAGCTTTTGTTTCATGCTTCGCCATGGTCGGTAGTCCAAGCAAGATATGCAAGATCTACATAAATGAACCTGCGTGTGAATTACCTTGAAGCACAACACTACAATAATTGTTGGGAAGGTCCACAACTATTCAATGTACATTGCTTTGTGGCCCCAAGTAGATTTAATATGGTTGAGGCTGGGAGACAACTGGACTGACGAGATTTGAAATATGTTTCGCAGGACCACTCACGTAACTCACTGCATGGGTTGAACTGGTGAATGCGCAGGTATCAAAACTCCCTTGCTTTTCTTAATTTAAATTTCTTCAGGAAGTACACCTTCATTATTCCGTGGCTTAAGACAAACATCAGAGGACCACAAGAACTTTCACTAATCTTGTTCCTTCATCATTAGAGATCGTGTAATGTACTCTGGACCCTGTAAGTACATTTCAACCCTACCAAATCATTGATCTTTCTCTTTTTATAATCCGATTGCCTTCAGTGTCGTGCGAAGTTTCCACTCTTATGTCTGGGACTGACAATCCACCCTATCATGATCAGCGCAGGATTTGTTTAGTGAAAGCTGGATGCCCGTGGGTTTTGCTGTCTATTACCATCATCAGAGGTACAACTAAACTAGTCTAACACACATCTGGGTGTTGGACCACAGTTTGAGGGTTTATATTCATTGTTTATCACTTGCCAAATCTTTGTTTTTTAGATGAACCAAGACATTTTACAGTGGTCCAGTTGCTACGACTTGTAGTTTGGAATACTCCAGGCAAAGATTCTAGATGTGCTTTTTCTCTCCTACTTCATCCTGTCTCGAGTTTAGTTTCAACTGTGTCTGGGGTCTCAGGGTCCACAAGATAGAATGAGCTCCAAATCAGCTGGGAAGAATGAAGGTTTGTGTATTTGGAACTTACTTTTCCGGATATTTTTTTATTCTGCATGGATAGTGCGCAGGCTTTTGCGTATGCATATCAATCTGCATGACGAAACTACATTTTTGAGCCTTTCATTATATGAACTTAAAGTGAAAGAACAATATATCATTAGATTTCAAGTGTATAATCATATAGTTCTTCTCATGATCCTGTCTTTTTCTTTTCCAAACGTTTCTGTCATCTGTTGTGCTCTTTTGTTTAAAAATGAATAAAAAGTGTCAGCTAATTCTTTGATGTAATAGATTCTTAAAGTTGGCATCTATCATTTCTGTATTGCAAAATGATTTCATGTTCCTAAGATGCAGAAACAGCAAGGAATAGGGGCTGAGTTAAAGACACCAACTCAAAAGGTACCCAATCATTTCGTTCTTTATTTCTCTCGAACGTATTCGGTGTTCATTAAAGATTATTGCTGCCAGATCCTTGCATGTAACAGTCAGTATTGGGAAAGTTTTCGAGGATTTTTTCATCTACATCTGCATTAGGGTAGCAGAGAAGGGCTTGACGGTAAGCTATTTTCACTATTTCTAGCAGGCTTGAAAGAAACAAATCGCTTAAAACTGTAAACATTTCTTCCCCCACATGAACTTTAGGTACTCCATGCATGTAGCATTTAGTCTTTGATCTTCATGTTTGATATCTGGCATCTATCATTGGATTCCTTCAATCTACAACAAAAAACCAGAAAGAACTATCACTGGTCATAGGAAGGAGACTCTTGGGATAGTCGTCTACCAAAAACAAAAACAACGGCGAGAGTTGAAAAATAGAGATAGCAACCTTTCTTCCAAAGTCAAAACAAAATAAAGGAAAAGGTCTGAAAATTGTGACAATGGACGGACCATTACTGCTCTTGCACGGAGATGGTGCCAATTTGGTTTATGATCTCAGTAGTCCTCGAGATATTTGGACTTCTTTGGACGAATGCACATTCACGTGGGAAGAACATCACACGTGTGTCACACAACCAGTTTACATCTATGATTGGCATTGTGTGTAAGGCAACTGATGACCTTCTTGAGCCAAAGATTAGTGGTTTCACCTAAATCTATGAACCATACGACAGTAGATTGAAATGTCAGGAAGTACTTGCTATTCGAAGAAAAATTGAGCATCATGACATGATAATTTGTGAAGATAGCCTTGTTTTCAAACTTAGCACCTTTCAGCTTCAGATTTGAGTTTCTTCCTTGTGTCATTACAATGCTTTTCACATCAATCATTCCAGAGCATCCGTTCCCTATCCAGAAAATAGCCTTTATTTGGCGCTGCCACCGTATAGACTTTCTTCTCTATCACAAGCTTGACAGTGGAATAATGGCATGCTAATTACGTGTCATGAACCTTCACCGAAAGAAATGGGAGTCGTCATCTACGTTAGGAAACTCCTCTCTTCGTCTATCACAAGTTTGACATTAGATGGAGCCCTACCATATATTTTCCATTAGTCTCTAGAGATCAAGATGGGACTATGTCACTGTGTCGGTCCCCTCAGTCCTTTTCCTAGCTTGGCACCATTAGAAGAATCAAGGCATAACAGTATGTTGATTGAGCTACATTACTGTGAGGTTGGCGACGAGTGACCTGTAACCAATGGGTATCATTCTCTTCCCAACTAAATCATTCACTGCATGATTATGGTTAGGAGCAACCTTAGAAGATAACCTTGTGGAGTCATCTGCCATTGCGTTCACAACCATTAATGCATTCCCTAATGTCATGGAATCTTCATCTTCCAGTGCCATCCAAGAATGAAACCATTCCCACCAGATACTGCTCTTGGTATTGTGGGCAGGTGGGTAGGTGGATCCTGCCCTAAGCTTATTTGGCCACAGGTGGGTCCTCCTCTCCATTCAATGGAGGCTTTGATTGACATTGTACCATCCTGATTCAGAAATGGTGAGTGACATCCATCACATGAAGTTTTCCAGCTATGAACAAGAAGAAGAGCCTCTGCAATTAGCAAGAGCCAAGCTCTCATGTTGGTGGTTGGACCCAAGCTCTTTCTCCCAAGTTCCCAACCTTCCAACACTTGGTAATCTGGTGATGAGACTTTGAAACCTGAGCGCAGAAGAAGAAGAAGAAGGGTGTGGCGTGCATGCCAGTTGCAGTTGTAAGCCAGGCCTCTTGGACTTGACCAACATCCTCCCAAGACATGGACACCAGAAGGAAACGTGGCTGATTGAACCGAAGAACATGGAAAGTGATTTAATTGAAGAGGAGAGAGAGGAGTGGATGCATGTCATGAAGAATAATAAACGAGGAAAATAGAAACATGAGGCTAATCTCCTCCGCACCACCATTTCTCCCCCTTCTTTTGTACTCTATCCCCCCCCCTCCCCCATTGAAAAGTTGAAAGCAACCACACCCTGTCTCTCCAATTTTCCACTCTACCCCACCCCTAGTCTGCCCCCCTCCGCCTCCTCCTCCTCCTCGCTCTCTCTCACTCTCTCTCAACCTTGTTATTTTAGTCCCAGCTCCTGTTTTCTTTCGTATATAATGACTCACAGTAAAAACCTAAAAAGAACAACAGAACAGGCTCGTATGTCAGCCAAGGGACTCGTCTTGCTGCCCCTTGGCTTCTCTCCCCCAACCCACCCCCACTCTCATTTAATACTACTTACCGGTGTCCATCTTTACTTGACCGTCCTGCCAATAATTGTAGTCCCAACCCATCTCCATGCCTGCCTGTATCTGTGCTCAGTCTCATTGGGTGCTGGTAATGTGAGCAGAGTGGAACCTACCTCCTCTTCTCCCTTCACATTTATTGTTCCTCTTTGATGTCCCCATCTCAGGAACTGAATGGTTGGGGAGCTTAAAACCAGTTCCGCCACTTACTGCCACTGCTGCCTATTAACCTTTTGGGCTTGTGCTTTTGCTTTAACCCCCCCACTCCCCACCTTCCAAATCTTCCTCCTCCTCTGTTTCATCTTTGCTAGGTTCCTTGGGGATTTGTGACTTACAAATCAATTCTGCCGCTGATTACTTCCCGGCGTGCTGCTGGCTTACGTGTTCTTGGATTCTTATCTTTACTTCTCGATTTGCTTCTTGCACTATGAGATCTCTTGCCAAGATCAGTCCATTTTGTTTGTTAGTCTTGGCCCTGCAGTTGGTTTACCTGTTCTTTGATTCCTAGGCTTGCTTCTTGATTTGCTTCTTTCCACCCGTTTGCCAAGACTGGGTTTCTTGATCCGGCTGCAGGGGGCCAACTTGGTTTTTTGGCTTGTCAACCCTATTCCTGGTTCACGCAGTCCCACTCCCTTCTTTCTTCGCTTCTTATCCAGGTTGCCACTTGTCTCTGTTGGGATCTCCACTGGTCTCGGTTCTCTTTGACGAAGGCCGTGCTTGAATCTGTAGAGGGGGAGCCCTAGTGTGTTGTGACATGAATTGGTGAGGAAGGACGCAAGATTTGACAGAGAGAGGCAGAGAAGTGTAGTTTGGTGTGAGGAGAGAGTGACAAGAGGAAGGAAAGGGAAAGAAACGAAAAGGTCACGATAGGGTGAAAGAGATAAGAGCTCAGTGCATAACGTAGCTGTAGGGCGCTTTGAGGTGTTGCTTTCATGGACTGGGATCTGAAGATGCCCCCATGGGATTTGGCCGAATTGGATCGTGACGCCGTACCAAGCCTCGGCTCCTTGGTGGCCGGACCAACCGGCGGTTCTGCCCCGCGAAGCCCCTTGAGCGGTCCGGGTTGCTCCATCGATCTGAAGCTTGGGGGAGTGGGTGATTCTGGGTCATCATACAGGTGGAAGGACCACCCCAGGATATCGTCTACGACGATGGTATCTTCATCTTCTGGTCCATCGAAGAGGCAACGGGCTTCGAGCAATGCGAGCCAGAATGCCTCGTGCTTGGTTGATGGGTGCAAAGCAGATCTTAGCAAGTGCAGGGAATACCACCGCCGCCACAAGGTCTGTGAGGCTCACTCCAAGACTCCTGTGGTTCTGGTCGGCGGCCAAGAGCAACGCTTCTGCCAGCAGTGCAGCAGGTAATGAAACAGGAGTTCCTCCGACGTTTTGGTTCGCGTAGGGCAGGTTGCTTGGGTCTTTTATGCAGTATCACGGTGGCCCTTCATGCTTATTTGATCTAGGTAGATGCTTTCTATTTGCAGTATTTCGTTGTTTTCTGATCTTGGAACTGCTCAATGTCATAAGGGAAAGCCCTTCATCTGTATTCATCCTGTTGAATTCATAAAAACTGGTATAACACCCTTGTTATGTGTAGCAAAGTCTGCAGTATCTACACACATCAATTACTCATAATCTGTTGCATAACTATTTAAAGTTACTGCCTGTTCTGGATCATATTGTGCAGTTTTTTAATCGTCTTTTTTGGTTTTCTTTGGTTCTTTGAGTGTTCTTAAGGTTGAGTTTTGCTTCGGGAAAATGAGAAATCTTGCAAAGGATAATGGAACACTAGTCAGTAACTTTAAGATCTAAAATTATGTTTAGAATAATGGAACACTTGAAGAGCCACGGCCACTGGTTTTAACAAGCAGCAAGGCCTCCTTTTGTCTATAATATGAAATTACTTGGAGGGAGATTTTTTAATTGCATGATAATGCGAATGTTTATGCAAACTTCATATTAGTTAATAGGTGTCACTGGATTATTAATCTGATGGAAGTTTGCAGTACAGATCTCATTAACTGTTCATGAAGGACCAACAAGCAACACATTCTGATTGAGATGGTTCGTCTGGTTGCATGAACCATAAGATAATGGTAGGCCCTTGAATAGCAACCCAAAGCTGATTGCACAGCTGAAGCAATTGGATGAATGAGACTTAGATAAAATGCATAAAACTTGTTTTCCAGCATTCTTGAGGCCACTATCAATTAGATATGAAGGATCCAATTATTTTAGTGAATAACACTGCAAATGGTTACTTTGTACCTATCCTGACACTATTATATAAGAGTATCTTAATAAAGGATCACAAGTTTATCCTGGCATAACCTTTCTCGTGTTCTTGTTTGTGATATTTGATATCATAAATTCATCTGACATTTCTGTAGTTTGATTGATTTGAAGCATTATTTAATCTAACAATTATGACATAATTATTTAGAAGTCTCTTAATGGATCTAACAATATTTATTAGGTACCTTACTTTAATCTCACTTTAGTATTTTGTTTTGAATGTTGAAGAACAGCTTCCTCTGAAGTTGGATGATAATCAGGTTACCTTTTGGCTTATCACTGGTGTATGCAAACATATTGTTGGCTATATCAATTTAACATGGATTTGAAAGTATTTTTTAGTGTTCTTTTTTACTTTTGTTTCATAACTTATTTTGTCCTTTTCTGTCTTTAAATCTTTGATTCAAGTCTGTATTCATAATGGATATTGTCCATCAAGATGATGAATTCTGTATGGGTTTTCAGTCTCTGTTGCAGTTATCTGTTGTGATATGTTTGCAAGCTTGTACCTATCCGCACCTGTTGTTTACTTATTGCTTGTAGGTTCAATTTTTCTCCACTTCAGCCTCTTATAACTTTTTTGAGGGGATTCTTGCTGGTATAACTTGAAGTTGCCTTTGTGTGTATTTGTTCTCTTTTTGCAGCAAAATGATATTGTTCTCTGAAAACTGGTGTGATAGTTTTTTTTTTTTGAAGTTTTGGTGTGTATATTTCCATCTTGTTATTTGGCTTATGAAATTGTTCATGCTCCAGTTAAGATCCTTTTTGGTGTCCCAATGTGACTTCTATCTTCTTCAACACATTCTAGAAAACCGATTTCAGTGGGGATTTATTCCTTCAATTTATTCCTGCGGAATTCATTTGCTTGTAGATTTCAATTTCCTTATCCTGAATAATCTATTCCTGCAGATTTCATTTGCTTGTAGAGTTTGATGAGGTAAAGCGTAGCTGCAGGAAGCGTCTTGATGGACACAACAAACGTCGAAGGAAACCCCAGCCGAGTTCTGTAAATTCAGGTAGCTATTTTAGGATCACTTAGATTGTGGCATCATTCTTAAAATTTCTGCTTTTTTTCTTAATCTCTCGCTGCAGTTCAAATTTTGTTGCTTATGATTAGACCCTTGTGGCTTAATATTATCTTCTTCAGCACCCAGCTCAAAAACCTGCCAATTTTAAGCATGTGCATCTTTCTACTGTCAATGCCTCTATGATTAATTTCCTTGTAATAAGGATGACCAATATATGTGATGTGGCACGATGACGGCTTGCCAGCTAAGATTGGCAAGGAATGTGCCTCGTGCATTGTTGTCCATGCCATGGAGCCGGTCATGTTCTTATGTAGCATGGACAAAGCTCATTATCGTTCATGCATTTGTCATTGAACAACCAGTAATACTTGAATCTTCTTAATAAGCTGAATTGAACTGACAACAAAGTAATTTTGCAAGCACTAGCTATTTATGACTCATTCGTTCATGATGTTATTCAGTAGTTGCTGCAGTTGCCAAATGACACCTTAGTAGATATGTAGTAAATGATGTTTGCAGAACTTTGCATTTGTGGCTTGTCTCTAGGGAAGTCTACTCCTAATCATTGACAGAATCAATCGACCTCCTATTGTCCATATAAATTGTTTCTTGCATGTACAGGAACCAAATACTTGGCATACCCTCAAATCTTTCCACCCACCTCAACAGAATCAAACTGGGCTGGAATTGTCAAAACAGAGGACAGCACAGGATATACACAGTGCACAGTTGCAGATCTCATCATCAACAGGAACCCTTTTCTTTCCGACTCTTCTCACCGCTACAGCAAGGAAAGAAAGCAGTTCCCTTTCTTGCAAGAGAGCGAGACCAGCCTCAGCAGCATAAGCACACTTGGATCTTTAGTAGGCCAAACACATTTTATGACAAGCACCATGTCTGGAGTCGGCAGCAGCAGCAACAAGATGTTCTCCAATGGGCTATCCCAAGTACTCCACTCCGATTGTGCTCTCTCTCTTCTGTCATCGCCGACACAGACATCGGGCATCAAACTAAGCCATGGAATGCCATCATCTGATCAAATCCCCATGGCTGAGCCTCTTGTTCCAAGTTTGCAGTATGGCAATGTCACACGTTACTCTCACTCCGCACCAAGAAATGTTTCACCGGTGGAATACTCGTGTTCGGTCATGGGCGACAATCATGTGAGCACCGTCTTGGCTTCCGATGATGCTACCGATGCTGATATCCATTGTCAGAGTATATTTCATATCGGGGATGAAGGCCCCTCCAATGGGACCTCTCAAGCTCTTCCCTTCTCTTGGCAGTAGTTAGGGTATCCTCCGAGAGCTGTCATCGAACAGAGCAGAGTCTCATCATCCTTCCTCTGTCAGGATTTCTCAAGCTACTTGTTTGATGGAGTTCTCTGCATTTAGTTACTGACCATTTCTGGAATCAGTCATCTAGGAGCCTATATCATGGCCTTTGACATTCTGCAACTCACGGTGGCTGGAGCTATGAATTTTGTATTATCTGCTTCTACTCATCTGCAGTATAAATCATTCTCCAAGAAATTCTTGTTTCAGACACATATTTAATGTTTCGTTTTGGAGGATTCACTGATACAGACTTGGGCTTTCACAGAAGCTGACGAGCTTGATGTCCTGGATTTGGTTTGTACCTGTAATTGATCTCCCTGCAGTCATTGCAAGGTGGATGGCCAGATCAACTATTCAGAAATATCAATCATGAGGCTTGTAAAATGAGATTGAATCAAATAATGCTTGAGAGCTTCTCTTAGAACGAACACTTACAGATTGGCCATGAAAAGTCAAATCATAAGGTAACGTTCTTCTTTATATCAAATACATTTAAATATCTTCTAGTATTTTTACGAAACCTTCTTTCGTTTGTTTCTACCTCTTCGTGGAAGCTAATCCGGCAACGAAGTCTCTCCACGGAGAACGGACGCAAACCAATCAGATATTTCCGGGAACGTGTCGAGATAAATCCTAAAAGTGAGCCGATATCGCTCAACCTTATCCTCTTTTTTATCCTCGATTTGACCGACCTTTTCTCCTTTTTCCTTTTTTTTCTTGCAATAATAAAGCTTTTGTTTACTCTTTTGTCATCACAATAATTAAATAGAAACTATAGAAACAAGTAAACAATATATATATATATATATATATATATATATATATATATATTACAAACGACGGAATCGCGTTCAACTTCATTTCAAAATGCCACCATATCAATCAATTCCGTCCGCCTCCCCTCTTCGCCTTCTCCCACCAGCGTTTTAGTCCTTTGTTTAGGGTTTCTTCTTAGAATCTGGACATGACGGGAGGCGACCAGCCATCGCGGCTACTCTACGAGCTCTGCGCTCTCCTCCTCGAGGTCCTCCGCACCCCTCACCTCGCGCCCCTGCCTGCCGACGCACCCTCGCGGCCACCGGTTGATGCTGCGACGGCGAGGAGGCGGGTGCCGACACGGATGTCACCGGCACGGTTCGCCTCTCTCCTCCTCGGGGCGTCGCTGGCGTTGATGCTCTGCGGGTTCGTCACGTTCCTGATCGGGTTCATACTGATGCCCTGGGTGGTTGGGCTCGTGATCCTGTTCTACTTCGTGGGGATCGTCTCGAATCTGCCCGGGTTGGGAAGGGCCATCCTTAGCCCCGGTAGTGGCCCCTCAAGCCCCAAGGAAATGCCAGGTCAATGTCGAGAATGAACCCGTTGCCCTCAAAAAATTTCTGCCAATCGACAGGTTACGTATTGAAATATATTTGAAAATAGATGATTAATGTTCTTTTCTCTTATTATATGGAAATCTCTACAGTTACGTATTGAATTATATTTGAAAATTGATGATTAATGTTCTTTTCTCTTATTATATAGAAATCTCTACATGCATAATATTTACTTGTTGTTTCTGCAATTTACTACTTTTAGAATAGAATTTTGTTTTTCTTGTCTTGTTAGAATGTTTGGTGTAGTTTATAAATTGTAATTGCATCTCTAAGCTTTCATTATCTTTTGACCATGTTATGTATTGAATTGTTTTGGTAATTGATCTGTTTTTTTTAGTTATCTGCCTTTTTTTTTTGTGACAACTATTTGTTGTTGTAGGTTCTTTAAAAAAATGTTCTATAGTTAGAGAAGTATATTCTGTTGTTCAATTACTGCTACTACGATTCTTTTTCTTTTTTCATTTGACATTTCTTGGGCGCATCAGGCCCCATCTAGGGGTGGTAGACCCTCACAGAGGAGGACAGACGACAGGTGCACAGTAGTGTCATTGTGATGGTTTGAACTCTCAACCTGTGGGTGCACATACACCATCAGGTTATGTGCACACATAATATTTTTGCCAACATGTTTTTGCTGTCAGCATTATCCGATCACGACTTTGTCTTCTGAATTCTTCACCTGGATCTTGGAGTTTTCTTCTTCTGTAGTTTACTTAATTTACACAAGAATGAATCTTGGAGTTACAAGCACTTAGAGTTCTATGCATTATCATTCGTGCTTGATGGTATGCTAAGAGAATCAATTTTTAGCAATTGCCTATATTAATGATCTGTGTAAGTAATTATTTTAATCCGACTGATTTGTTATATTTGTTATGCATAAACACATTTTTTTATCTATCATTTTCCGATTCTAGCCAAGGAAATTAATATTAGAAAATTTCCTAGGCTGACAATTGGCATATAGATGCATTATTTTGACATTTAAATCAAAGTTCTAGCTATGTAAACTTTGAATAGAACTTGTAGGAAGTTTAGAATATTTTTCTTAAGCAAAAAGGTTTACCTATGCTCTTTTACTTCAACCAAGGATAAAAAATCTCTTGCGAATGTACATAGTTGTTTATAGCCTTATTGTCAAATTCATAAAGAGTGTTGTAGATACCTCAATTAGGTAGATTTCAAACTCTGGTGCAACTACTAGGGATGATATGTTCACGCTACTGCCGTCGCTGCTTGCTGCTGCTGTCGCCGCTCGCCGCTCTCGCTGCCGCTCCCACTGCCGCAGCTCGCCGCTATCACTCCCGCTATCGCTGCTATCGTTGCCACTGGCTCTGCTCGCCGCTTCCGCTCCCGTTGCTACTGCCGCTGCTCGTTGCTACCGTTGCCACTGTCTCCACTCGTCGCTTCCGCTCCTGCTCCTGCTGCTCGCTGCTGTCGGTGCCACTGTCGCCGCTTGCCACTCCTGCTGTCACTGCTGCCACTGTCGTCGCCCGCAGCTGCCGCTCTCGCTCTTCTCAGTCAACACCCTCGGTCTTCCGACTCTTCCCTTACACTCTTCTCCTCTTTCGATAGTATACTGTTAACAGTATACTGTATACTGTTAACTGTATACTAATAATAGTATTTGTATTTATTAGATTAATTTAATAGCATATTTTTATTTAAAAATTTAAATAATTATATTTATTAATTATATTATATATTTTTATATTTTAGCGTCTCACTTCGTTCGGGCGAGCGCCTAGCACCTCGGGCGTTTTTGGACCTTAGTGCCTTTTGGCGCCTAGCGCTTTTTAAATCACATCTTCTGTGTCTTTGTGTCTCACTAACAATTTAATTTGCTTTTGCTTGCACATTTTTGGATAGCTACAAAGTAAAGATGTTCAATCTATTTGCAAATACTTAGAAATTGATGTCATTACAAGAGTCTTGTGCTTTTCTTTTTCACTTGCATGTCAGGAAAAATATGACCTTAAATGAATGTTTCTCTTCGTGAGAACTCTTCTTATCTTTTGGATGATGTAAACTGCTTAGTGAAGACTAAGATATAGTTGTTCAGAATATAGCTTTAATTTGTTTTCTTAGAGTGCTTTTGCAGTGTCATGCTAGCAATTGATCCCAAAGCATGCATATTGTTCAATTGCTTATGGGAGTACAATCTGGGACCAGAATGAAATTGAGATATCTAGTGGGCAGGTTATGTGATTTAGGAGGTAGTTTCTGATTACCACTGTTATATTAGGTAAGTTGTAATTTTAAGTGGTCTTATGTAGAAGCCAGGGGAAGAATTGGTTTCTTGGGAGAGAATGAAAGGTAAACATTTTGGATAATCCATATGATTTTCCGATCTGTATGAGATTTGTTCAATTGTGTTCATGTGTGTTGTTTACATGTCTGTCCTTCTGTGTGCTGAGAAGAATGTGATGGAAAGGGCCTGATTTGAAGATACAATTCATAAAATTTCTGGAGTATTTTTGTTAAGTAAAACTCACTTCCCTTCAATTGACAAATTTTCCTTGTCGATCAATTTTTTTCCCCTTTTTTTGTTGTTTTCGGCAGGCCCACTGTTCTCTGAACTTCCAATTATTTGATTGTGGAGCTCAGACATGCAATAGTTGATACTGCAGATCATGGAGACGGTAACTATGTACCTTGGAGGATCGCCTTGATTCTTCCTTGATGTCAGTTCGATGGGTGCTTGAATCTTGTTTTCATTCTTTTTCCCATACCATGTACCTGTTAGTGTTCCATGGCTGCTCGAGGACCTCTTTGTTGCTGCAGAGTTTGCACATAAAATTAGTAACAAGCATCTTGGATTGGCTGATGCTCCTGTGGGTTGGGTGTCTCTATATGAGAGGCTACAACAAGGGCAGCCATCGCTTAATCTTTATATGATACAGAAGTACATGGTAGATAGAAGTCACCATTTATGGCTTCACACACTTTGTGGTATCAGATGACAATTCATGGAGGTAATCCTGCTGTTGTTTATCACAGTAACTAGAACTGAGACTAATTCATCCATCACTGGGCTGAGCTCTATGAACAATGCAATTGGTCTATTATTTAGTTTTTGATGAGTTCTGTCACAATCATATTAGTTACCGGTAAGCTAAAGTTCCTGATGGATTTGTTTCTTTAAGTGATGTATTATGTTATACTTGTTTTAGACAAAATCACACACATATACATTCTTCTAATTTTAATTTTTGCTTAGATATGTTTTGATGAAACTCAAAAGCTTGCTGATATGTTCCCATAGTTAGTTAATACTTGTAAACGTACAGTAGCATTGATTTCATACACTACTGAGTTTTTTGAGTCAAAAGGCAACAAAAAAAAAAAAACCATAGATATCATTCTTTTTATTGTAAAATGCTTTCATGTTGAAAAATGTATAACAAAGTGTGACAAGTGCTTAATTATCATATTTCTTCTTATAATGAGTTTTGTTGTGACACAGGCCGTTTGGACGAGTAAATATCGATTGGCACCCAATGCTCCGAAAAAGGTTATAATTTTTTTGTGAATAATATAATTGGTTGGAATATTTCGAGTTATTTAGTGAAAATAGTAATTTTGGATTTCAATTACATCCATATATTTTATTGGATTTAAATCTGTGCTTCAGAGATTACATGATTTGCTATCTCTCACCCGTTCGATTCAAGATGGGGAAGGAAGGGAGCGGCGGTTGCCTTCTTCGAGCGTCGTGCGGGTCCCAACAACGGTCCTGGTGGCCCCCGCCTAGCTTGCTCTGGTTTTCCGCAAACATATACGACTAAAAATGCCACCGTGAAAGTTAATGCATGACGCAATCGACTTGGAGACGGAGTCTGTTTGTTTGCGGGACTCGAAGTGACCATACTACTCCTCCCCCGCTTTCGCTTTCTTCCCTCGGTAACCCACAAACCCTCGCTTCGATCCGCATTGGGTTTGCGGTGGGCGATGAGGCCTCGACCACTAATCTTCTTCGAATCCCGCAGTGGATGCATTGGGTTCCGATGCTCTTGTGACTGTAGGCCAAAACAGATGGAGCAGAGTCAGAAGGGCTGTTTTCCCAGTGTTCTTGAGATCACTCTCGTTGACTTGCCTGGAACAACAAAGGTGCCAGTTGGTGACCAAGCAAATGACATTGAAGCCAGGATTAGAATGATGATTTCGTCATACATCAAACGTAAGACTTGCATTATATTAGCACTTCGATTGGCAAGAATTGCTGATCCAGATGGTGAGCTTGTTAGTTGTTTCCCATCTTTTGCTTCATATTTTTTTGGCAGAATATTAAACACGGGATAGGCCAGCAAGAATATAAGAATATTTTCGAGAGGAAGATTAGAATTGCAAGATATGATCATGAATTAATATTATTTGCTTATAAGAGATTAAGCAAATAGGAAAAAAATAATAATAAAGAGATCGATTTCCTGTGTTGATTTTTTTCTCCCTTAATTTCCTCTATTTTTACTGAAATGGGCTTAAGTATTATATAATTAATGGATGCGAACCAAGTTTCGTCTTATTAGTTCGAACCGATGTGCTGATAGATTGTTGGTATTATACATGTCTAATCGTACTAGTGTGTTGAGTGTTGACACAATGGGAAATGTCGATGGCATAGGAAAATCCTAAAAAATATTCTAAAAAATAAAAAAACTTAGATTAAGATTTTTAAGTTAAAAATAATTATAAATTTAGTACAATTTAAGTAGAAATATTGAAATAAAATAGTGATACATCTTTTTTTCGAACTTTAAGGAGTAACTTTATTACATGTTCTAAATTGTCCTTTTGTTGGTATTAAATTATCTAAAAATAAATGATTTGAATTATTTGATTTCGAGTTAAATTTTATGATTTAAATGAATGAAGTAGGAAATGGATTGATTGATGGATATGCTTTGTTCTCGTTAGAAAAAGATTAAGAGAGTAGAAAATTTAGAGAGAGTAGGGGAGTGAATGAGGGGTATAAAGGGTTTAAAAATTCTTTGAAATGGTTCAAATGATTAAATGGATCATTTGAACCAAATCAATCCTAGCTATTGATCGGTATCGATTGAAATCTAATAGTTACCGATTGGTATAGATCAGTAAAAATCAGATTTTAACTATTTCACTTAGTACATAACCTGAATTTAACAATATGAGGTCATTTATCGTAGACCGCTTGATACAAGATGGTTCACGTGTCAATTTCTTATTGGATCAATATATACACTGTCGCAAAACAAAAAATAGTGGTATTAAGACAAGGATGTTGATATGGATATGCAAAATCATTAGGAAATATTGAATTGGAAAAAATGTTGCAATCATAACAAGTAGGCTTAATCATAGTAGAGGATAAGATTATAAAAATAACAATTGAAATAATAGACATATTCAAAGAAGAGCTATGGACGTCTTTGTTAGACGCATTATATTGTTTAGTGGCGTAATAAGATTGCGAGGGCCCTACAATATACAGAGGGTCAACTCATCTTATATTGACATTGATGTATTCCCAAACATAACTCAAATGGGAAACGATCCTTGTATCACCCCAAATAAGTGAGACATTACGGTATTGTAATGATTGTTCGTTAGTTTAGTAGTTGATGATATGTTCTTGCTCTTCTCATTAGGAAGCATGATTTTTGGAGAGAGATTGATGTGTGAAATGCAACTTTTAAATAATTAACGAACGATAGTTCACGTTGATGAAAATAACCTACATTTTCATGAGATTTTTTTCTTGCTTAGGGTGTATTTTGACAATTTAAGATCCATTATTATCATATATGATATCCTTTCAATTGTTGTTAAAGGTTGATATCCTCCTCTGGACATCTTCGTCCCCACTGTCTCTTACTTTATCCTCTTCTGTGTCCCCACCCATCGCGCTTATGATGTGGTGGTCTAATTCTCCCTTATCTCTGTCTCCGACCTCTCCTATCTCTGCCTCTTTGCCTTCGTTCGTCATTATGGTCTCCATCGCTTTCTCTTCTTCGATAAGATAGACTTTTTATAAACTTAAATTATATATTATTATATTAATAATTTATTATGAGTAAGCATGTCATGTAAGCAGACTATAATGTCTGTCAACTTAGACTTAATGGGAGGGCTTATATGCTATATTTTTAAAAGTATAAGGGTTATTTTAGATATAAAAAAAATTATAAGAGCTTAAGTAGTCCATGACCAAAATTATACGGGTTAAAATATATCTTTTTTTACTTAAATTATATTTATCATTATATTAATATTTTATTATGAGTTAGTATGCAATGTAAGTAAACTCTAACGTTTATTAACTCAAACTTGATGGAAGTGGCTTATATGCTATATTTTAAAAAATATAGAGGTTATTTTAAATATAAGTAAACCATAAGGGTTTAAGTGGTTTATGGACAAAACCACATGGGTTAAAATAAACCTAACCCTTTGAATTTTTATAGATTTATGTAAACTATCTTACATAGCGATTATAAGATGAAATGCCATAGCATAGATCATGATAATTGGAGAACTACAACTGATGAGACACATGCATAAAAAAAGATGAGGCCCTAAACTGATGATAATAAGGTTGCAATTGAGAATTCCCAAGAACAGAAAAAGTTAGCATTATTTGAAGAGACCAAGGATAGCAAGAAAGGTGCAACTAATGACTTAGAAGAAAAGAAAGAGGATAGGGAGATGACTTTGGAAGAATATGAAAAGTTTAAGAAAGAGAAATGAAAGACCTTATTTGCAATGAAGTTTGAGGAGAGAAAGGTCAAAATTTAACAAGGAGTTTCAGTCTATGAAGCAACTATCTAAAAAAAAAGAAAATGATGCTATCTTTGTTAAGTTGGGTTCTGACAAGGATTTAGGAAAAAAAAGAAGGAAAACACTTATCATGATGAATGAAACAAATAATCAATAAGTTCCTAAAGGTAGCTAAAAGAATTCTTAGATATATCAAGGGAACTCTCAACTATGATATTCATTATAAACAAATAAAAGATTTTAAGTTATATTTTTATATTGATATTGATTGAGCTGGTTATGCAAATGATAGAAAAAACACTTCAAGTTTTGTGCTTGGCCTTGGCTTAGGTGTAATTTCACATATAACAAAAAAATAAAAATGTATTGCTCTCTCAAACCCTAAGAAGAGTATGTTACGGCTACAAGTATATGTCACGTAATTTGACTCAATTCTAGCATATCTCCAAGAAAAATAAGATGAATTAACTAAAATCTACTATGATAAAAAGTACTATTACAATGACAAAAAATCCTATTTTCCACAAAGCGCACTAAACACATCAAAGTTCCATATCATTTTATTCGTGAATTGATTGATAAAGGAGAAATTCATATAGACTACTACAACTGGAAGATTACCTTGTCGATGTCTTTACAAAAGCATTAGCGAAAAAAATTATTTTTTTCAAAAATAACTTTAAGTTGCAACTATTTTGAATTAAGAGGGTGTGATAAAATTAATTCAAATAGTTAGAATTAGATGAAATAAAAGATAAAAAAATTAGATTAAGATAAATAAAAGATGATGAGAAGATTTATGGAGATATGGTGGATTTTTTATTTTTTATTTTTAAATTATATTGTATCATTTAATTAATATAAAAATAAATATTTTTGGATGAATCCAAAATATTAAAGTATTTTTTTTTATTTTTTTAATTATTTTTTAAAAATTATATAAACTCACCGTACTTGGAGCTATCATTTATTTATGTTGTGGTTATACTCCTGCCTAATATTCATCCATCACCGATATCCTCATTACTTGTGTTATGATAGATATTCTTTCGATTGACGAGGCATTGGATGCGATACCACTTGAAGCTGAAAAGGTCGAAAAGGGATATAGTATGGATGGTGATTCGACTGGTTAAACATATGATTTATTATATTAGATATATGATTTATTTATCTTTCGCTTCCCTTGGTACATGAATCTCCCACAGAGTGAGTATACAAAGAATGTTAAGTCAACAGCATGTTAGATTATATGGTCTTATTTAATTAGGTAAGATATATTATAGATATGATTGGATTCTGATTATGGTTATTGGCCAATAGAAAAGAAGTCTATATTAAAGTAGGATTGAGATAATCTTGATGGGAGGAACTCTCCTAATAACTTATCCTAGACCCTTTGCTCTCGCCTACAAATAGACAAGACTTCTAGGGGCTAAGGGCAAGAGATTAAGGTTTTTCTCTCAATCTCTTCTTCCCCTAATCCCCGAATCTATCAATCTAGGTGGTCTTGTGAAAAGATAGGAAGAGAGGAGGAGGATCTAGTTCTCCTTTGCAGATTGATATTTCAGATCCGAAGA